ATGTATATATTACATGATCGGGCTTGTTCTAGTAACTTGGTTTAAGTTCGTTAACAGCAACCCAGTTTAGGGTTTAGGGGGCTGGGTTTCGGGTTTGCGGGAATGAAGCCCGGTAAACCAGAAATTGCGCGGCAGCTCTGAATTTTAAATGAGCTATAGTCTGAACTCCTTGAGGGAGATAATATAGGGGATTACATAGGGAACTACCCTAGGCTTCCCTAGGCGGTACTAAGGGAGATACTAGGAGTTTAAACTATAGGTCCAATAGGTAGCCTGGGATAGTAGGATGTGTTTTGCAACACAGAGGCGTGCGGGCGGCGAGCGCTTCAAACACAAAAGTGTGGGAGCGAGTCCCTTTCAAACACACGAAAAGAAATCATGGTTACGGTTTAGGGATTTAGTGCGTAGGGTTTACCCACCGTGTATTTCAAACGCATCTCTCTCAAGCGCAAAATCTTGAAGTGGCGGCAGCGTGTGGGCAACTGGTTCTTCAAACACCAAATCCTGAACTCACAGCGGTGTGGGCACTTCCCCTTCAAGCACAAGTGCAGGGTTGAGGGAAAATCTCAACAGACCTTTCCCCTAAACACTAAATCCTAACCCCAACACCCTAAAACCTAAACCCTTAACCCTGAATCCACCCTAAGCCCTAAACCCTTAGGGGCATCCCAGGAAACTGCCGACGCGCAAAACTGCCAAGCGCTCGCGAACGGCGCCCCATAGGTTTCAATGGGGTTTAGGGCTTAGGAGTTTAGGGCTTAGGCTTAGGGGTTTAGGGCTTAGGGTTTAGGGTTAGGATTTAAGGGTGTAGCCTGGAGGCCAGATGACTTGGAGGAGTGGCAGAAGAAGGTCAAGGAACTCTCTGCAACTCGGCGTTTAAAGTTTCAGGTTTAGGGCTCAAGGTTTAGGGTTTAGGGTTCAGGTCCTCCAAGACCCACCTTAGACCCTAAACCCTGACCCACGTACCCGAACCCTGCGGAGATCGCGGCGCTGCGGTAGAATGAGCTTGTCTTCTTATTGGTGCTTAGTAGTGAATACAGGCATGTTATCCCTATATAATCCCTGTATCATATATTTCCTTCTTCCCGACCCTAAACCCTTACTATATCCCTTTAGTCCCTACTAGCCCCCCTAACCCTAAACCCTAAACCTCCAG